AGACCAAGATATAGCAAGACCTATGTACCCAGAAATGTCACTTTTGTATCTGATAAGGTCAGCCAAGTACTTTCAGGATTTATCCTGTAGCCCTGTACCACCTTTTGTACATCCTTTTGTCAGTGTCTGACATGAGGATGAGTCACGGCCATTGCTTGACCAATTTGCTCTCTGTGAAAGCTTGAGAAAATGTTTTTTCTCTCCATGTGAGGGACCACAGATTTAACTGGAAAGTGCTGCACTAATAATAAAGCCTTTTGATTCTAGTCCTGAAGATGCTCCCGGTCCTGGGGGTCTGAGTGTATCCTATATCCCCATCAACCATAGTTCTCTGTCAGCCAGACCCCCCTCTCCTCATAGTCCATAAATATTTACCAAGCAACTGAGCTGTGCTAGGCCACATGCTTCGGACCTTGGTGCGACAAAAAATACACAGGCAGCGAGGTCCACATGCTGGCTCCCAGGCTCACCCTCGCTACTGAACACCTGTGTGGCCATCGCCAAGTGAACTGATCTCTGTAGGTCTCAGTTTCCTCACTTGTAGAAAGGGGGCAATAAGCCTGGTTCCTCATCAGATCCAGTCAGGGGATGTCTGCCAAGCACTTCTGGTAAGTAGTGAGAATGCTCATTAATGCAAACCAAAAGAACACTGGGGGAAACGCAAGGAGCAGGACTGGGGTGCACTAGACAGTTGTTCACCGCTGGCCCCCTTTGTGTATCTGCTCCAGGACATGGCGACCTACTTCATGAATCTGAGCCAGGCGAATGCGCAGAACAGCCCACGCTGGGAGCTTGAGTACCGGCTGACTGAGGCCTACGGGGTGCCAGATGCGAGTGTCCGCTCCATGCAGGCAGCAGCGACTGGCATCGCCAGTGACCAGGACAAGCTGCAGCGCTACTATGTTTACAACTCTGTGAGCTATGACACGACAGCCTGCGGCGAGACCTGCCGTGCGGAGTTCTTGTGTGCCATGCAGGAAGTGGACTTCGATGCCTACTACGCCTGCCTGAGCAACAGTGGCGCTGGGCCCAGGCTAGGGGGCCTGCTGGTGCTGCTGGCCACACTGCTGGGCCTGCAGGCTCTGCTTGCACCCTGACTTCGGGCACTGCCCTCTCCTTGTGGGGCTTATCTTCCTTCCAATGAAAAAGGGCAGCGTCACCCCTCAAAAGCTGATTTTGACCCCATTTCCCTGTGTCAGAGGAGAAGAAACTGGAACAGGACAGGTGGGATTAGGAAATGAGGCTCCAGGGGCTGGGGAGGTGGCGCGGTGGAATGCGTGCCTCCCTGGCAAGCGCAAGGGCCTGAATTCAATCCCTATTCTGCCAAAAAAAAAAAAAAAGGAAATGAGGCGCCAAAGGCCCCTTAGGAAGCACACTTCTCTCAAATTTCAGGTTTATCTGTAAAGACACCAATGTATGGTGCATTTTATTCTGTGCATTATTCCTTTTAATATATAAATGTTTAACTCGGCTCACACTCAGGATCTCGCTGTCGTTTCTGTGCTCTGGAGTCGCTGTCATAGTCTATCCCCAGCTCAGGGATCAGACTGTGAGCCCACATAGTTTGCAAAAGCCTGCACCAAGGCATCAGAACATGGCTTTTTGCTTCCTTGTTTGGTTTGTGCAAATATGAGGGACAGTTACCGACCAACAAAGCAAATGAAAATTCCACACCACACAGCAATGCCTGCTACTGTTCTCTACCTCTGAATCTCTTCTCACACCAGTCAGTAGCCCCAAATGGCTGGTAGGAGATCCAGATAGTCTTTTATTTTGGTTTAAAGGAAAAAGGGCTTATTCAAAGTTAGCTCTAAGGAGATGGAGGGGCTTCTCTTGCCCCAGAGGGGAAAGGGAATTCAAGGAGACAGCAGTCAACTTGAGGCTTGTTTCCTCTGCCTGAAGCAGGACCTCCTGGGGCTGACCTTGTACACTGGGTCCATGCATCTAGGCTGTGAGAGGAGGGGGCAGTGTTTATTCCCTAGGCCTGAGAAAGTCTAGAGAAGTGATTTTTTTTTTTTTTTTAAATCTATTTTAGCTTTCAAAGTTCCTTTTTGTCTTGTGCAGCTTACAAGATAACAGGTACAGTTCTAGTTCTTGCCCCCAGTCATCCTCGGTTTCTTGGACCTCAGGCCAACTCTATTGTGAAACCCAGAAATTAGAGGCTACACAGCCAAACCACCAACACTCCCGTCAGGACCACTATATTTATTTTATTTTATGTATTTATTTGGTGGAACCGGGAATTGAACTCAGGCCCTTGCACTTGCCAGGGAAGTGCTTATTCCACTGAGTCATCTCCCCAGCCCCATTATTTTAGTATTTATATACATTTTAAGGCTTTCTAAACCTTCCCCACATTCTTTCAACCTTTCCCACATTTATGAAAATACTTCTAATGTTCTTAACCATTTTCTAAACTTGTAAACCCATGAATTTTAACAACATATTTATACTGTACAATGCTGCAAAACCTTGAGGTATAGTGAAAAATCCGCAATAAATAATTTAAATTACTATTTTTTGAAAATCTGTGAAGCAGTGAGCCTGAAAAAGTTGAACTACGAAATAGCGAGGGACTACAGTAATCCCAGCAGTCTAGGAGGTGAGGACAGGATTGCAAATTTGAGCCCAGTGATTTAGTGGGTCCTCATCTCAAAAACTTAAACTGGGTGGTGGTGCATGCCTATAGCCCCAGCACTCTGCAAGCTGAGGCAGGAGGATCCCTGAGTTTGAGGTCAGCCAGGGCTACATATTTAAGTTCAAGGCCAGCCTGAACTGCATAGCGAGACCCTATTTCAAAGAATCAAACAAGGGCCGGGGAGATGGCTCAGTGGAATAAGCGCTTCCCTGGCAAGCACAAGGGCCTGAGTCCAATTCTCGGTTCAAAAAAAGAATCAAAACCCCCCAAAATTTTTAAGGCGGGAGGCAAGGGATGTAGCTCAATGCGAAGGCCTGGGTTCAACTCCCACTACTGTTCCAGAAACAAAACAACAAAAACCCGCTAACCAGAGAGCGTCAATGCCCTAGGCCGATTTTCAACCGTTGCAGCTCCACGGAACAGAGCCAGTGGACCCCGAGGGCTGGGCCGAATCCGGGGGGCCGGGTCAACCACGCCCCCGCTCCGCCCCGGACAGGGCGGGACCGGGAAGTCCCGCCCCGCAGGCCCGGGCTTGGGGGGGTGCCCCGAAGGCTGCGACCCGCGCCTTCCAGTCGGCGCGCGACCTGGTCCCGAGGAAAGGGGGCAGGCGTCGAGGCGGGCGGGCCATGCCCTGGTCGCCCCGAGCCGCTCTCCTGCGGGACCTGGTCTTGGGCGTGCTGGGCACCGCCGCCTTCCTGCTCGACCTGGGCGCCGACCTGTGGGCCGCCGGGCAGTACGCGCTCCGCGGCCGCTACCTGTGGGCCGCGCTGGTGCTGGCGCTGCTGGGCCTCGCCTCGGCCGCGCTGCAGCTCTTCAGCTGGCTGTGGCTGCGCTCCGACCCCGCCGACCTGCACGGCCCGCCCGCCCCCGGCCGTGGCCTGGCGCTGCTGCACCTGCTGCAGCTCGGCTACCTGTACAGGTGAGCGCCGCCCTCGGGAGGGCGAGGAGCGACCCGCCGGGGCTCACGTGCCGGCCCGGCTGCGCCGAGCGGCCGGAAGCGGCGCCCTGCAGGTGAGCGCCCGCCTTGGACCCCCGCTTCCGGCCCGGGCGAAGGAACCGAGGCACGGGGGAAGGAGGGGTGCTCGGCCTCCGGAGTCAGACTCCTCGGGACCCAACTCTGGCCCACCGGTGGGCTGGGGCTTCCTTTCTGCGATTCCCCGAGCCTCAGCTCCCGCCTCTGAGAAGGCGGCCAGGGAGAGCGGCGCGCGGCCGCGCTGCTGTTCCTTTCAGCTACGGGTCTGCTCGTGGGCAAGTCGCTGACCATCCAGGCCTCAGTTTCCTTGTTGTGCCAGTGGGGCTGGTGGCATTGACTAGTTCTGTTTTGTAAGGATTAAGCAAAATGATACCTGTAAATTGCCCTGGTACTGAGCGAACATTAGCCAAATGTCAGCTAGCTTTGTCACCCGGGCCCTCCAGCCCTCCAGCCGACTCCACGGCTAGGGTGGTTGCTTGTTTCTTTTTTGCCTCCCTCCTTTGTTCCTTGCCTTTTTCTTAAGGATTCAGCCCAGGGAGTGGTCCTTTATTATTATTATATTATTTATTGAATTTTTGAGACAGTGTCTCGCTATGCTGTTCCGGCTGGCCTTGAGCTCACTTTGTAGCCTAGGCAGGTCTCCAACTCGCAGTACTCCTCTTGCCTCAGCCTCCTGAGTGCTGGGATCACAGGTGTGCACCACCATGCCTGGCTTTTAAAAATTATTTTGATTTGATTTCTTTTTTTTTTTTTTTTTGCGGAACCGGGGATTGAACTCATTGATTTGTTTCTTGAGACAAAATCTTGTTAAATTGTCCATATTGGCCTCAAACTTGAATCCTCTTGCCTCAGCCTCCTGAGTAGGTGGGATTATGGGTTTGTGCTGTCATACCAGGCCCCTCTCACTCTCCCTTTCCCAGTTGTCTGCTTCTCCATGGACCTGTTCTTCTGACCCTCAAACTGAGCATGAGGGTAGAGGTGGGTCCTGGACACAGCCAGGGTTTTGGAAAATATGGGCCTGTGCTTTTAAGAGCTGTCAGGGTCCCATAAAGATGGAGACATGGAAATGTGTTTTAACTGATGAGAATATTTTGAGCAGGATTAATGATGTATCTTTTAATATAGGAAAAAAAAAGATGGAGAAACTGAAACTATGGGGTCAGGGTCATGAGATGAAGCCAGGACTTTGGGTGTGGTATGGGTTAGTATGGCTGGAGGCAGAATCTGCTCCAGAACCCATTTTTTATGAGTTCTTTCTAGATCTTGACAAAGCTGTCTGGAGTCGCCAGCCTTGAGGAGAGGAGCTTTGAACATTGTTGTTTAGCTTGAGGGACCCTAAGACACCAGTGAACCCTAGGTGGGTCTGAGGGTTCAGGGCAGGCCTTGAGCCCTGCATTTCTGAGGCCCCTGCATCTGGCTTTGGGTTTGTAAACAGGCTCCCTTTGTGGACCAGAAGCTCCTGTTCCTTAGTATTATCAGGCAGGGCAGCCACAGTCGACATGTGCTGAATGGATCTGTGGTGGGTGAATGGGCCAAGGAGATCATTCTGTGTGGGGAAGACCTCAGTGCTTCTCCATGCCCTCCTCATGCCAGCGACTCCCCAAGGCCCTTTTCTGGATTCCCTCAAGTCTGTGCCCATCTATGTCCATCTGTGTCCCCACCTCTCCAGCCAGGCCCTCACCCTTTCCCTAGGCATTCAGTAGCCTGCTGCATGGGGTCCCTCCTGCTTCACCTCCACGAGTCCTGCCTCCTACCCTGGCCAGTGTGCTCGGCAAGCACTTATTCTACTGAGCCATCTCCCCAACCCTCCAGGAGATTCTTACACATAGGAAAATTGATGACTGCCTTGGATAAACTTTCCAGCATGCTTCATTTACAGTTTTGGGTCCAACCCTGATTCCCTGAGTTGTTAGCTTCCTGATGCTTTACCCCTTCTGTAAATGGGTGTTTTTTTTTTTTTTTTTTTTTTTTTTGTGACCAGCTCAGCCTGCCCTGGGGGCAGGACTGGTGTGGCATGTGCTACTGGAGATTAAACCCCTGTCCCTGCGTTTACTTAAGCTTGCCTAAGCAGGCGCAGTAGTCTGCTGAGCCATCTCCCCAGCCCATGAGTGTCTTGTGAGGAGTAAACAGAACAAGGTTTGTGATGGGCTTGGGTCAGCTGGTGCCCAACAGAAGTTGCACTTATTCCTGTTTTACAAAATAGGTTGAGAGGTGAGGGCCTTTGCTGGGGCCCCTTAGCATGTATATGACAAGCAAGGATTGGAACCTGTCCTAGACCAGAGGGGTGGGAGCCCAGCTCATAAGCCCTGATCCTGTGGGATTTGTGTGTGCCTAGGTGCCTGCAGGGGCTGCGGCAGGGGCTGTTGGTGTGGCAGCAGGCGACGCCCTCAGAGTTCGACTTGGGCTATGCTGACTTCCTCTCCATGGACATCAGCATGCTGCGGCTCTTTGAGACCTTCTTGGAAACGACGCCCCAGCTCACGTTGGTGCTGGCCATCATCCTGCAGAGCGGCCAGGCTGAGTACTACCAATGTGAGTGCTTGTTGCAGGACAGAGCCTGTCCCTTGCCAGGATAAGACTGTAAAACTGTTAGTTACACTAAGTGTGCTGAGAGATCAGCAGAGGGAGAGGCAGTGGCAGAGGTTGGTAGAGCCTCATTAACTATGGAGGAAGTTTGTACAGTGAGGAGCTTTGGAAGGGCTTCTTGTAAGACAAAAGTGACTGTCTCAGAGCCAGGCAGTGGCCAAGGTGGGACTTCATCTCATCTCCGATTCAGAGTCCAGGGCCTTCTCTTGGTCTTCAGTGTCCTGCACACCTCAAGGCCCCCTGCTGTACCTACCACTGCCTTCCATGGGACCCAGTACTCATCTGCCATCACATTGAGTGTGACCTGGGGAAGTCTGTCTCTACTTCACACAAGAGGAAAGAGGTGCATACCTGTGAAGTGACTTGCCCTGGACCACTCAGCACTCACATTCTTTTTTTTTTTTTTTTGCGGAACTGGAGATTGAACTCAGGCCCTTGTGCTTGCCAGGAAGTGCTTATTCTACTAAGCCATCTCCCTGGCCCCTACATTGATTTTTTTGAGTTTGGTGTTTGTTTTTTCAAAACAAGGTTTCACTATGTAGTGGAAGCTGGCCTTGAACTATAGCAATCTTCCTGCCTCAGTCTCCTGAGTGCTGGAATTAGAGTGTGCTACTGAACCTAGCATTCACATATTCTCATCTGTCTGTCCAAAAGTGATAAGTGGCTAGGACCAGAGCCAGTTGGGGAGAGACTATGTGGTATGCTGGGTGGGAAGAAACAATTTTTTCTCAGCTTCTTATTTATTTATTTATTTATTTTTTTAAAATTTATTATTTATTTGAGAGAGAGAGAGAGAGAGAGAGAGAGAGAGAGAGAGAGAGAGAGAGAGGGGTGTGTGTGGCCAGCTCAGCCCACCAGGGGGCGGGGCTGGCTGGCATGTGGTGCTGGGGGATTGAACCGCGGTCCCTGATGCTTTGCTAAGCTTGTTCTAAGTAGGTGCTTTAGACCACTGAGCCATCTCTCCAGCCCCTCAGCTTCTTATTTAGCAAGTATTTATTACGAGCCAAGTACTGGGCTCCCTGGGAAGGCCAGATGAACAGAACCTGTGTCCTACTCTCTAGGAACTGAGAGGCCAGGAAATAGTTACTATACTTTTAATTATGTGATAAGACGCCAGGCAGAGGTAGGAGGGTAATTCCAGGGACCTTGACACAGCAGAGCTGTTGGGGAAGGGCTAGGATAGGTAATTCCCAGGATGTTCAGGCTGGGGGCCAGGTGAGGAGGAGGAGGAGACCTGGGAAGTGGGGTGTGTGCTCCTGGTAGGCTGGGCCAACTGGGAAGAACATCTGATCTAGAGTGAGGGTAGAGTGATGGCTGCAGATCTGATGGGTTCCCATTAAACCTCTGTTGAATGAGAGAGGTGGGAACAGGGAGAGAAGCATTCTAGATAGTCCAGCTTCTGGCCTTCCTTGGCGGTCCAGTTGCTAAGACCCCCAAGATCTGTGGGTCTTGGAAATCAAGAGTTGGGCCCAGGTTGCACATGGAGGGGAGAGGAGGGGCGGGAGGAGAACTTCTGCCACAGCAGGGCTGGTTCTCCCGGCCCTCAGGACCCCATGGGGTCTCTGGTGCTTCCTTCTAGTCAGAAGGCAGGGGGAACTCTGGAGCTCTGTTGCTTTTCAGATCTAAGGCTTGGGCTCTTCTGGAAAGGAAGGTCTGTGGGCCCTAGGAGATGCTCAGGGTGCAGCCTAGGCTTCACTGGGGTGCCAAATGCTGAGTGGCTCTATGAGTAGCATACACTCTCATCCTTGGGAAATGTCATGGGGGGGGGGCACCTGAAAGTGATGCATCCCTGAATCCCTGCTCCGTGTTTGGTAGGTTGTATGAACTCGCTGAAGGTTCTCCTGCTGCCATTTCCCCTTCCACAAATAGGGATTCTAATACCTACTTCAGGGTGGCTAGGAGGACCCAGGTGGAAGCTGTGAGCCCTGAGGGTGGGCCAGGCAGGCTGTGCAGAGGGCTCATCTGTTTGCTCTTGCTCCTCATAGGGTTTGGAGTCGGCATATCCTTTGTGAGCATCTCGTGGGCACTGCTGGACTATCACCGGGCCCTGCGGACCTGCCTTCCCTCCAAGCCCCGCCTGGGCTGGACTGCTTCTGTTGTCTACTTTCTGTGGAACCTGCTGCTGCTGGGACCCCGAATTCTGGCTGTGGCTCTGTTCTCAGCCCTCTTCCCCCAATATGTGGCCTTGCACTTCCTGGGCCTGTGGGTGGTGTTGCTGCTCTGGGTCTGGCTTCAGCAGACAGAGTTTATGCACGACGCTGGCTCCGAGTGGCTCTACCGGGGGACGGTGGCCACTATCCTCTATTTCTCCTGGTTCAACGTGTCTGAGGGCCACACTCGAGGCCGGGCCACCATCCACCTGATATTCCTCCTGAGTGACAGTGTTCTGCTGGTGGCCACCTGGGTGATTTATGGCCCCTGGCTGCCTACTGAGATCTCATCACACATGTGGCTTGCTGTGGGAGGCATCTGCTTCCTTGTGGGTCTGGCTTTGCGCCTTTGTTACTACTGCTGGCTGCACCCTAGCTGCCACTGGGAACCTGAGCCGGTGGATGGAACCCGGGTGGATGGGCCCCGGAGTCTCTTCGCTTGTGAACATTATCAGCCATTTCAGAACAGACGCATGACTCAGTTGGCTTGGAGCTTTTTCCCTAAAGCTAAGGATGAGAGCATTTTGCCAGGGAAGGGAGAGGTGAATGGGGTCCTATAGCCAGCACAGACCCAGCGACAAGGGGTTTGCCATGTGAACAAGATGAGAAGGGCTGGCACTAGAGGGTCAGGGGTGCCAATTATGTACAAGCCATGTTGGCAGGAATAGGGCTTTTCTCCTCAAGCAGTATAGCTGGTGTGCCCAGAACTTGCCCTTGTTGGTGCTGTCAACACTGGCTACCTCTCAAGTGATGGAAGTGTGGAAGTGTTCATTTGCTTCTCTGTCCCAGGCTAAAAGGCCCCAGGACTTCTCCAGATTCCTTTCCTGTCCCACTCTGTTCATTTAGTTTATTCAACTAGTGTTTACTGAAAGCACTTTATATGCCACAAATAGCACTTGGTGCTATTCCAAGGTTAATAGTAACCTTGGAACCAGCTGCCACCCTAGCTTCATCCCCTACCTGCTTGAAACAGTCCTGGGTAGAGCTCAAAGGCTGGGGCCCAGGACACCCCACTCTGGATAATCTGTCAGCCCCTCTAGAGTCTGCAGCTGGCCTGGCTCTGTGCCTGTCTCCAGGGGCTGTCTTTCAACCAAGTGCCTCGTGGGCCTGTGTTTGCGCCTTGCACAGCCCATTGAGTATTTAGCCAGTGTACACCTTTTACCTCAGGGTCCATTTAGATGAGAAAGTGTGTCACTGCAATTGAGGACATATGTGGCACATGTTTGACAGTATTATAAGGTTATTAAAACTTCACGAAATACGCCAAACAGTCTGTGTCATTAAACAAAATTTACCACTCCTGGAGAGAAGAGGTAGGGACATGAAATTCTTTGAAACTGGTAAAGGCCCTTGGAGTAGGTAAGAAGGCTGCCTTGGGGCGGGCGGGGCTGCCTTAGGTGTGACTTCATCCTTTGTTTTCCAAGTTGCAGGGGCTAGGTGGATTCCAGTGCACTCTGCTTCCAGCTCTGCTGCTGGGCTGGGCAAGCATAGCCATAAGCATCTTTGGGACTAAGAAGTATGAGAGACCAGGTGTAGGATAGTGTCTTACCTAATTGCTGGGATAAAATACCTGATATCTACAAATTTAAGAAGGAAAGGTTTATTTTGGTTCACAGTTTATAGAGGTTTCAGTCCATAGGACAAAACCGCCCACAGTACAGCAGGCAGGAGGCAGTGAAGCAGCAGCAGCAAAGCAAGTCTCCCTTTCCTTTTTATCCCATCCAGGCTACCATAAGGCTTTAGGTGGTGCCACTCACATCCAGTTAGGTCTGCTCATAACTGCACGCAGACACTAGCCAGTCAGTGGGCTAATCCAGTTACCATACCCTTAATCCATATTACACCCCTAGTCACATTCACACGTCTTAGATTGAGCCCCCCAAAACCCTGTGAGTACATGAAGCTCACAGATTATTAGGGCTTGTACATCTAGACACAAGCCCTGATAGCCTCTCAGGAGCATCATGAAGTCAGTGGCAAGGTGGTCTGTGGTATTGTGATGAAGCAATGGTTCCAGGAAGGTTGTATGTTTTCCAGCTCAGGTCTATGGTTTGAAGAAAAATAGGGAAGGAGTGCTGGAGAAGGAAAAGGCTTCAGCACTGTGAAGAGATTCATGATAGTTGTTACCCCCTTTTTATAATGGAGACAGAAAACGGCATGAGTAAACATTCTGTGTAGCAGATGGTGTGATGTGCTAGAAGGTGAGGTGTTTTCATGTTGGGAGTGACAGCTCCATAGAATGTCCAGGGAAGCCTCGCTGAGAAATAGCCTCAGCATGAGCGCCACATCAGCAGTGATGGCAGCCTGTGGCCTACAAATGGGATAAGGAGTGGATGCTGGGGTCACCACTGGTGGCTTAAGTCATCCAGGGAAAGAATGTTGGAAGCACTAAAAAATAGCCCCCATGTTCCATTTTCATTGTCTCATAGAAAGTAGTTGATGTGACAGTGAAATCAGGCCCAATCAAAGGAGATTTGATATCAATTTGTCAGTTTATTGCTTTTGTGATTTAAGTTCAGCAAGCATGAACTTCTCTTTAATATTAAAGTTCAGCACATTTGACAGCAAATGAAATCTTACTCCAGTTCTAAACCTTAAAAAGCAATCTCTTAGAAAACATTTCAGAAATAAATGTTCCCTTGCAAATTATTTAAACACTTCTTTGCCCATTTATTTTTAGACTCAATGGCTCTTACTTTTGGTGAAGCTAATGGCCCAGTTATTGAAGGGCTAACATCTTTCTAAAAAACTTCACAATCTTTAGGAAGCCTTTGATTAGAACTCTGTATGGGTTGGCAAGTGAGGTAAGCCATTCAGAAAAGACAACAGGAAAAAAAAAACTATAGAAAATAAAAATTTTATTTTTTTCAAGTTTATAAGATAGTTCCCATTACATATAACTTTATGGTCAAGGATTCTACAGCCACGAATGCCCGCAGTCATAAATATATCCAACCCAATCAATGCATTTTCCTGCCAACAGCGGCACCTAAAGTCCAGAGGGAGTCATGTCTGGAGAAGTTGTCCTTCCCGGGATGGCTCCATCAGTGCATGAGGAACTCGCTACAGAAGCTTGCTTGCTGGAGCTGGCGCAGAGCAGGGGAAGGGACAGCGTGCTGGTGGGACTGGGACACAACCAAGTCTTCCCTCTTGTGGTTAAGGTGTGTAGCGCTCAAGAGGGGCCAACTGCACCCCTTGGTGTGGAGTGCAAGAGAAGGCCCAGCTCTCATGCCCTGGTCTAAATCATGGCTCCTCCAAGAGGAAGCTGCCATGCCCTGCTCCACACTTGCTCAAGGTAGTAACTGTCCCAGCTCCATGCTCTGCAGCTGGAGTTTGCCAATGAGATCTTACCTGTGAAGCTGAGTTTGTGTAAACTGCAAACACTATGGCAAGAGTCTCTTGAAACACTAGTTTTGCCTTCCAACTTGCAGAGCATAAGACAGGAGCCTTCCAAGCAAACAAAAGCCTAAACAGGCACCTAAGTGTGGAGGAGGGGTCCACTCTCCCGGTCACCACCAGCTGCCCAGGGGTATGGAACAGGGTGATGCTAAGGCACAATTTTACATTCGAAAGTCAAGCCACCTCTTATCCAAGGACACATATGATACCTCCAGAAACACTACAGATAGCCCTGGCCATGAGATGTCCAGACCATCCTCAGGAACCACGTTACAGGGCTGAGGAAGGACTTGTCTGGCCAGTTTCATAGACACTAGTTCCAGAAAAGGGGCCTCTTCTTGCTGAAAAGACCCACAGTACCCTTGGCTGCAGCTTCCAACAGCTCTTGATACTACTCACTCATCTTCCTTCTAGGTGTCTGCCAGTGAGAAGGTGGTGAGGGCAGTGTTTCCTGGACAGACTCCTTGGACACAGCCAGGAAGCTCTTGCTGTCTATATTCTGATCAAGGGTGGCAGCTGCTGGAATGGAGCACAGGCTGCTCTTAGAGCCTCCTCACCTCTCCTAGCCAAGTTCAAAAAGTTGGAAAAAAAAAAAAAGGAAAAAAAAAAGATCTAAGTGAGAAGTCAGGGTAAGAGGAAAAAGGCCACTGAACAGGAGTCCAAGTCAAATTTTAATGAAGAGCCTGCCACAGGTGGGGAATGTGTGTGCATGCATGCCATGCACCTGTGGGGTGTCAGCTCACCGTCTCTCATGCCCAGAGCCCAGCACCAACATGTGGCCTTTGTCCAGGGTAAGAAACAGTGATATTGGCAATGGGAGCAGATCTGTGGCATGAAAGTCAAGTCCATCCAGAGCTAAGACAGACCATCAGGCAAGGCAGGACAGTATCAGGGCAGCTGGGCTGCACAGCCCCAGTGGGTCTGCCTCACACTCCCCTCTCACCTCACTTGGAAACATGGCCAAAGAGGTGACCAAATGACGCATGCCAACTTCAGCTCTTTCCCTAGACTTTCCCCTTAAACCGTTAGTCATGAAACAATTTCCCTTCATCTCTGAAAGGAATGTCTCACAGCCTCTGTCACGATATGGGTGATCTGGCTTGGCCCATTGCAGCCACCTCTCTGGGGGATAAGCAGAGCAGGGGTTGGTCAAGGTGCTTGTTCTTGCTGAGGGCCGAGACTGCATCTGCAAGGTGCTTACATAGCAGCCTGTGTAGGTCCTGGAGGGATGGGGCAACCAGCACACAGGCTGGCTAGCAGGTTGCAACTAGGACCCAGGCCTCCACCCAGCTTCCCAGGGGGCATAAAGTAAGGGAGCAAGCACTCATTTAAATCAGGAAAGATTCCTGCCATTCCCATTTCTGAATGGGAGTTGAAGAGCACAGTATTCTATGGGAAACGGTTTTTATTTTATTTTATTTATTTATTTATGTATGTGTGTGTGTGTGTGTGTGGCCAGCTCAGCCCACCAGGGGGCGGGGCTGGCTGGCATGTGGTGCTGGGGGATTGAACCTCAGTCGCTGTGCTTTGCTAAGCTTGTTCTAATTAGGTGCTTTAGACCACTGAGCCATCTCAGCAGCCCCGGGAAACGGTTTTGATTAGAGCAATTTGTACTCCCTTCCAGGCAGAGATCTGGGTAAACAGATGCCTGGGATACCCACATGTGGCCAAAGGGCTTTTTCAAAGGGAGTGGTGAGAAGCCTGTTCTTGGACTTTATTTTACTTGTTGGGCAGGGAGTAGCTAGAGCTGCCTACGAGGTCAGAAGGCAGCATCTACTACAGGGTGTCTGGTGGGGAAGGTGCTTCTCTGCAGGAGGAATAAGTGGAATCTTCCTGACTTGGAGAGCCAAAAATGCTGAAATTCCTAAGAAGTCCCAGTCTCTTCTTCCTGGTTTGGAGGTGAAGCCTCTTGAGACATAAGTCTCTGAATTAAGAGTCATGCAGAAAGCTTAGAATTTAAAGGAGTCTCCAGGGGTGTACTGTTTAGTTAAAGAGGAAGAGGGCCTAGCAAGAAGACTAAGGCTTTTAGGAACAGCCAAAGCCTGAAGGTCATCAGTGTCCAGTGCCCCACAGGCAGAAGGGAACATTCAAGAAAGCAGACTACTGAACAGCTAAGGAGGTGCTGCAGCCACAGAGAGGTATTTCCCATATTTCACTTACTATTTCCACAGAAACTTTCTATATCCTTTTCTTGCTAGAAACAGAAAGATGGAGAAAACTTGCTTCAAAGACCAGACCCTTACCTATAAAAATAACATACACATTCCTTGGAAAAATTCTATAGCTAAGGAGTTAAAAGACTGCAGGAGACAGGAGATATTCTTATAAAACTCTGCTGCATTTCCCTACCCCCATCAGTTAAGGGCGCTCAGACTGGCCACAGACTTAGGAGTCCGACTCTGCCCTACGAACTGCCTTTTCTTTTTCTTCATTTTTCGGAAACAAAACACAGAAGAATTAAAAGCACTGTAGTTGCAGTAAGTCTACTGTTGTCTCTATCCAAATGTTTCCTGCATCTGTACAAGGATGAACACCGGGCTGTGGTTCACTCTTAGCAAAAATTGTAGCTGTTGATTCTGATTGTGTTCTCGCCAGCATTCTATGGAAAGAAGTGGGGGGAGGGGTGGGGGAGAGGAACACAGAAAAGGAGGGGACAGAGTTCAAGTTCCCAGTTGGATTTGGCCTCTGGCTCCCTTCAGGAGTAAAAAGGAGCTCAGGAGGAGGGCTCTTCATTCCAGTTCTTACAGAAAATCAAGCTCCAAAGCCTGGTGAAGGGACACTAGGTCTCCGTGGTTTGTGATCCTCCAAAAAGGCATGTTGTGCTGAAAGAGAAGGAAGGCAGCAGGTTAACCCAGCTTGCTTTGGAAGCTTTTGCCCATCCATACCCCTTCCTCCCCAGGCTATTCCCACCCACCTCACAGAGCTGTCACAAGGATGATGTAAGTCACATACACGTACAAGGACTTTGTGCATTACAGGACACTGTACAAATGTGAGAAATTTTCATTAGTCTTCAGTGGTAACTGTGCTTTTGACGTATACCTGTTCCAACTATATATAAGGTCTTTAGGATCAAATAAAAAGGCCAGGATAGAAATGAGATAAGAAATGAATAGTAATACTAATTCAGAAAAATAGTAGAAGTACAAAAATCTTAGGGCATTTGTAGTTTTTCCATCTCTCATTTTTATTTAAGGAAAAAGATCATTTTTAGATTATTGTTAGTATAAGACTACCATAGTCTTATAGATAGTCAATTTCCTGTACCTTTCAGAGCTACAGGATCTAAATTGTCTTTTTGACACAGGGTCTGGCTTTGTAATTCAAGCTGGCCTTGAGTTCACTATGTAACTCAAATTCACTGGGACTCTCCTGCCTCAGCCTTCTGAGTGCTGGAATTTTTTTTTTTTTTTTTT